ATGACCGTGACAATGCTTGCAAAGACTGTCATGACCGTGACAATGCTATATTATATTGCAAGGCCTGTCATGACCGCGGTAATGTTAAAGCCCCGTATGACCGTGACAATGGTTGCAAGGCCTGCCATGACCGTGGTAATGTTAAGGCCTGATACGACCGTGACAATGCTTGTAAAGCCTACCATGACCGTGACAATGCTATATTATATTGCCGTATATATAGCTAGTATGACCGTCATAATGATTGAAAGGCCTGTCATGACCGTGAGAATGTTAAAGCCTGTCATGACCGTGGTAAGGTTAAAGCCTGATATGACCGTGACAATAGTTGCAGGGCCTCTCATGACCGTGGTTGTATTTAAAGTAGCATGAGAACACCGTAATGACAATTTTTCTTCGTGTTTAACTACCTTAATATGTAATTAAAGACTACTAAAATGTGTATTAATTTCACAACGAAACCCTAATTTTTAACTCATAAATAATTTGCGTACAAATATATCTCTACTATCATTCAAGGAGGTTCGATTCGAAAGCACATACTTTCTATAATGATCAATTAATAAGCCTTTATCCATAAAAAATACTAACAGTAACGGGTGAAACATGAAGGTCATCAATGTCATATAAAGGTTACGTCTGCGCCAGGCTTGCACGATTATACTACCACGGTCATGACCGGCATTGCAATATAATACAGCATTGTCGCGGTTATACCAGGCTTTCACGATAACATTACCACGGTCATGGCAGGATCCTTGCGCTACTTAAAAAACACTAAATAACATGGTGACGGTTACGCCAGGCGTTAGTCTTGCAACAGATAGGGTCTCGGAAAATTTCCTGCAATCAGGTCTGTCTCTATTTTTCTTCTGAGCTTTTGTGACCTCTTGATCCTTGACATCAAGTAATTCTTTGTTGAGTAACTGATACTTCTACCCCACTTATACAAACGATCTAGCCTGCAAAATGCAGTTTTTAATCAATCATGTTTGTTTACATTATAAACCCTGAACCGGAACCTGCATTTTTCTGCACAAGACACGGATTTTTTGATTTTTCAAGCTAAATTGGGATCGAAGTAACATTTGGTCTAGCCTGAATAAACACTTAAGCGTCAGCTTCGAATCTCTGCAATTCAAGCAATAGATAGACAGTGGACGTGCACTTACCCTTCAATATTGTCGAACGCAGCAAAGTGTCTCTTCTTATTTCTGACATGCTTCCGCTTTAATGATCTTGACCTTTGACCTATATAGGCCCTAATGGCCAGAATGGCGCGAAGTTTGATATTCACGAAATTTGAGTGTACGAAAATGAACTCCTCTGGGGCTCTGACAACCGACCGTTCGGTGATTTCCATAAGTAGGCTAGTCTGAAAACAGGGATTGAGGGAAATGTGTTTAGCTTAGATACTATTTAAGGTAGGGGTAGGTACGAAAAATTTCGAACGGAATGCGTGACATATACGTAATTCGCGTGAAAAGTCCGAACGAAATGCGTACATTTTTTTCCGGCGTTCGTATTTTTGCTGTGTAGACGATCTTTTTTAGAAATTTTTCTGCAGAAATATTTTTGCTTGACAATTACCAGGTAAAATGCGTATTTGCGTGACATTTTCTGTCACGCAAAAATAACTGGCGTGACTTCAAATTCTTCAGCAAATGCGTGACAAATACGCAAATTGCGGGACAGTTGACAGGCCTGCCACTAGTCCAAAAAAACATTATCTTTGAACACCACAAGAATGGAAATATTGAACATATTGATTGTCTCGCCAGGTTAAGAGGAAGAATATGTTTTAATATCGTACCATTGGTTTCCGAGTATGAGAAGTAACATTTTGAAATGCACCAGTTTTTCTGAACAATTTTCATACATGGATGAGTTCATTTCTTGCTTATTAAGAACCAATTTTCTTAATTTTTTCAACAAAAAACACCGTCACAGGAGGATAAATGCAATTATATTAGTGTGAATTATCACTTATTAAAAGACCTCTAAAAGTTAGTTCTAAATGACTCACGATATTTCGAACAAAAAATCTTTCAAAAGCCAGAAACCCGCTTTTTGAAATTAAAAAAAATACTAGGCCTAGTACATGTACATATCATGCTTTGATAACATTGGATGTGACTAAGCCAAGGTGGTTTAATCTTTATATGGGGGCTTTAAAACAAAAGGCGTTCAAAACAAGGGCATACATGCGCGCGTCCCATTAGACACGATATTCCTCAATCTTTAAAACATCCATTTACTATCATTTTAATTTTAAATCACAATCCTTGTGTCAACGAGACAATCTAAAAATATTTGCCAATCAAGAAAAAATTACTTTTTGTTTTTGTCCTTTCACTTCATATTGCGAATAGGCCTAGTAGCCTAATTCTGGCCGACCAAAACCACTAAACTGTCATTTTATCCATATATAGCGCACAAATTCCTTTGAATTTGGCAGTCGGTGATGGTGGAAAACTCAATGGGAAATTGGGAAAAATATTGACTTCCTTGCAAAAAAACTATAAATAAAATATAATATCATAATGACTTCCCAAGGATGTTCTTGTGTGTTACTCACTTCGAGAGCCATGTTCGATTTTGAAACTTTTATATCAAAATCTACATAGCTTTCGCAGAAAGTAACTTGTGTGGGTCATAATGGTATATATGCCATGATATGGAACACTAAACATTGGATTTTAAAAGAAATGTCATAAAAGAAATAATTGATACAGGGGGTGAAAACGCGTAGAGTATTTGAGTTCGAAAACCAGGTGCACTCATGTAGTTTTATTTGGTACTCCGTAAACGTTTTGTAGCTGTGTTTCTACACTTGCCAATACGCGTAACACGTTCCAATTACTTTGAGGAAACATTCCATTATTATTAATTGACAGTCACTCATCTAGTTTTTCTAAAATGCGGGGTTACCTAAAGAAAATTTTTAATTATCGAACAAAAATTCCTTGGTACATTTATGAAAAACTAGAGCTTTGGGTGTCAAGTTGTGACAATTGCATGTTTCCCCGATGTTTTGGGAATGTGATGGGGCTATTGACGAGGAAGTGTTAAAAATACTTTCACAGAGAACAGGCCTTCCTAATTTTTGAAAAAGATGGCGATTTTTGTCGTATTCCCGTGTACTCCCCAAAAAGACGCGTTTCCATCCCCTGTAATGGAACAAATCTTGTTCTTGAGTTCAGTACTTTATTTGTGCTGTGTTACTGTCCTTTATCTGATTTTTTCCATGGAGAATTGATGATTTTTATATTATGTAGATATTTTAAAACGCAGTACTTTGCCAATAAAACGTATTTCATGGCCTTTTTCTCCTTGGAAAATTGATGACTTTTATAGGTAGCCATTTACGGTACTTTCGTGGACTTTTCCATGTACATGTAGTTATGATGAATTTAAAAGGAAACATTTCCATAGTACTTTCTCTCTTTTACACTTTATTGGACTCATAACTTTATTCCATGAAAAGTTAACTTGTTTTTAGGTAGGTATTTTGAAAATACAGTTGTTTGCCAAAAAACGCTAGTTTGCTCCTTGGAACTTTTATCATTGCTTGCTTGCTTTTGAGTAAATCAGAAAAACAAACACATCCAAATAGCAATCACAAGGGTCTGAAAGTACAATCGAAACGAAATGGCAGATAATTAGACGTGCGTCAAAATCGACAGTGTTATTGATTACTTTGGCATATATTGTGTATTTTCTTATAGTTTACCCTTGAATAATAGCTATGTTTAAATATTTTGTATAAAATGTATAGATATGTGTTAGTAATCACTTAAACTTGGTATGTCATCCCATAAAATGTATACATTTCTCAGCAAAAAGTTTGTGTTTTTGCTTGAGTTTGTGTTTGTTTTGCTTGTACCCTTGCATAATTTGGATTTTGCCAGGACGCAAAAAGTGTCTAGCTACTTCTTATGGCTAATTGATTGTTTTTATACGTATGCATTTCCAAAACACGTTTGGCTCATTAAACTTTATTTTCCAAGTAAAGACAAGGTTTAAGTTACAGCACGTTTTGACTGACAGTCCCAATATCTTGACACTATAGATGCCTACTCCGCTGAAATGTTAACAATGTAAAATGTCTTGCAAAGTAATAGAGGGGGAGGGTTGACTTACTCCCCATGGAATGGTGTCCCAGTGTTATTTCTCTGTAGTAATAAATTATACTATTCATTAGTTTCAGCTCATTATGGTTATCCAAATGCTAAATATAAACTATACAACACCTTTGGTGTGTTAATATTAATCATTAATGGTGGTATGATAAAAAGAAGTAACGAACAATATAAAAAATATAGTTAATAATATCATTATTTCCAAAAGTACTATATAAAAGCACATTAAAAATACACAACATTCTCAAAGAAGTAAATCTGACGAACCTCTTTTTTAAGGCCTATAATACAGTATATTTCAATTAAAAATTGAATTCTCATAAGAAAATTCAAGTTCAATAACTGGCTTCATACTATTCAGACACATCTAGTTATAAAGGCACATTCTTGATCAAACCAAATGAGTAGAAATACAATGTACAATGTACTTCTCACCAGTACACCAGCTGTTTTACATATATTATAATAAATATACTAGATATGTACATTATGTACATTAACACAAGTTTCTTCCATTCAAGTACAGTAAAACCTGTAAGAATACTTAAATACTTATTAAAAGTACAGTATATGGGCCATGTTTCCGAAAAATGGCAAGATTTATAATTTATAGTAATACAAAAAGTATTTGAAAGACTTGAATTATAATTCTTGACTATCAAGAAAACCTCTCTCAGAGTAGCATATCAAATCAAAAAAAAGTAAATGAGATTTTCCATCCTCAATATACATGTCATGATATAGGGAGAAAATCAATAAACTCAAGGACTGTGTTACACTTGCTAACTGTATATTGAATGCTCTTACTATGCTAGAATATTTTTACTCCCTATATCTTGACACTGTTAATCCTCATAGAGCCATTAGTCCACTAAAGCTGATACTTCAATACTAGCAGCTGACAGTCAGCGTCATAGTAAATGTCTATGAAGGTTGAGATTTATATGATGCAGCAATGTGCACTATCCAGTTATCTTATACAATTCAGCTATATACAGATATATGCACATTTAGTAGAGTGCACATGCAGCTTTATGCACAATGCAGCTATGTGCACAATGTAGCCATATGCACAATTCAGCTATATGCACAATGCAGCTATGTGCACAATGTAGCCATATGCACAATGCAGCTTTATGCACAATGCAGCCATATGCACAATGCAGCTATATGCACAATGCAGCTATGTGCACAATGTAGCCATATGCACAATGCAGCTTTATGCACAATGCAGCTTTTGCAAAATACAGCCAGACAAAGAAACAATGTCTGTGAATTCCAGTTCAAAGTGCAAACTGTGTAAGGCCATTCAAAGTTAATAATTTGTTAAATGTCCCATTGAGGGGCCAAACTTTTAAGAAGGTGGGGATGAAAAAACAAGTAGATTTAAAAACAAACCTTGAGCGTATCTATATGGATTTGATATTATACCATAACAATTGCAAAGTATGTGAATGATTTGAGTTCAAAATTTGAGTTTCAAAATGTGGAGACTCCTCTTTATATGAATATGATCTTAGGTCACAATTAGTTTCAATTGTCATTTGGATTTGCTACAAATCCATCCTTGTTTTTCCTGAAAGCCTCAGTATTCACTAAATGTCATTTAATTTGTTACAATACAAGTAAAATATTGTTTGATTACTGAAAGAAAGTTTTAGACTTAAAGGCCCACTTTGCGTATTTTCAATGTTTTTTTTTGCGAAACAAAGACTTTTATTTGAATTTTAAAGAATGTCCAATGTATTGATAAGAACCTTATCTTTCATTTGACACCAACAACTGTTCAAACGGACCACAACAAAGCTTACAATAATTAATAAAAAAATATTTCAGGTCTGTCAAGCTTTATATATCAAGTTTTTATCAATGTCATTGAAAGATGGTGAAGTTGTTTGTATTACATGATATTCATTTTTATAGAAGGGTCGCCATCTTTTAAAGCAAAAGTAACTTAAAACATGTACTTTGTTTAGCATGTGCACACACTACTAATAATCTCTGCACTTTTTTCTATGTGACCTATTTTTTTCTTGATTCAATATTAGAGCAAGTCAAACTTTGTTTCATATTAGAGCAAGTGTGAGAGTAACATGTTTCAATGATTATTTTTTTTATTTTTTCTTCGAAATTAAGTATAGTGGGGCTTTAAGTAGAAGGTGACATTAAACATATATTTAACTTTGAATGGCCTATCTTGCAGAAAAAGTAGTTGGTTAATATATGTATGCATAAGGCAACACCTTGCACATTTTGCAGCAGGAACACATCAATTATTTCTTACTAATGAGGCCAAGTGCACAGTTCTGGGTTTGACCTTGGTTTTTTGAGACATTTTCCTAACTTTTCACATCCAGGCGGTGACCAGTTCTGGAAAAAAAGCTAAAATTCATGGTTCATTTTAACTCCAAGAAATGGGAACATTATTGCAATGTGATAAAGTTGAAAACCACATATCCCATATTCTTGTTATACTGTTAAACCAGTGTATGTTTCAGTCATATGTTAAATACCTTGATGGATCAAGATATGTTATTGTCCCATTGGAAAAACAGAAATACAGTAAAACCTGCTAACCCTAACAACACTGGGACAAACCAAAAGTGTTCAGATAAGCAGGTGTTCACATTTAAAGGTGTTCATGATATGCGAGTCAACAGGGGATGAAAAAATGGGACCAAAAAAGTGTTCAAATCAAAGTGGTGTTCGGATTAGAGAGATGTTCGGATATACAGGTTTTATTGTAATTTGTAAGCACCTTACACCGTGGGAGTATTTAGGAATCATACAGAATTTATGAGAAATGGGGTCAGGCGTACCTGTACTGCGTTATCGCACCAGTTAAGTTGAGGTTTACCAGGCTTGAGATTATACATATGTTTGTCAACTATTTTAAGCATTGTCAGCATCACTTGATTGTACTCTGGTGTCTTTGGCCTGAAATTGACAAAATAAGCATAAACATGCAATATGTAATCACCTGCCATTTGTTACAGATGGGGACCACCAATTCCCATCTATTACAGACACCACCAACCAACACCATTTGTTAAGACACCAAACATCAACCACCAAACACTTGCCATAGAGCTGTCCCTAGGATTTCTTAACTGATCGAAATCTTAATTTTACTACAATTATCCAAAACTGGTCAAAATCTCCCAATATTTTTATTAGTTTTCCAATACTCTTGACTGGGCAAAGGTGGATTTTATACTGGGTGCAAGATATTTTTTCTGCCTCAACACATGGATGATAGATGTCTCTACTCTCTACCTTTCTTTAATGGTTTATTGATACATGTTTTTAGCTTACTTTATTGGGTATTTTTCACCAGGATCTCTGCCTAAATGAAACAGCAGTGGTTGTATTGTATGGTTGGTTTGTTTGTGGGTTGTAACACCTTCAACATCTTCTCCCCTGCAGAAGTCTATACCTAAAACATAAATTGCAGATATGAATACAGTCTTTCAAAGCCGTATGGACAGATCATGGGATCATACGGGTGGACCATGTTATCTTGGGAGCAGACTATTGGATCATGAGGCAGAGCGTGCTCCAATGGGCTGATCATATCTTGGTAGCATCATGGGCTCAATCAGTGGTAGAGCCCATGGTAGCATCTAGTGGTGGATCTTGTGGCTACACATTGGAGCTTTAGGGAAGAGCGCTGGATCTTGGGGGCACACTATTATTGGTTCGTGATGTCAGACCTTGAGATCTTAGAAGTAGACTATTGAATCATGGGGAAAACCATTGGGTCTAAGGGACAGACCATTGCTTTTTTGGTCAGTTCAGTCCATTGGTTTTTGTGGCAGACCATTAGATCTTAGACAACATATTAACCTTCTCTGTTAGCTTAAAGAATATAACGAGAGGTCTACACTAAAACAACATTGTAATACCTTTATCAAATTCGTCATATCCATTGGTCCAGGTCCACCTGTGAATCTTATACAAGCCAAACCTCATAGCCATCAGTTCATTCCCTCTGTAGAAGAACACTGGCCTAGAAATAGGAAATATCTCTGTTTTACATCTCACTATATATTTATCAAACAGTATTACTTTGAGTTCAGGCAAAATGTCAGACTTTTGTTTGACTTTTATAAAATGGTGGCCATGTTAAATTCTGAGACTGGTTACTGGTATTTAGAATTCCACCCTAAGACATATAGGGAAATAAGATGAATAGATGAGTAGATGGATCATTAATTCTCTGACTTGTTCAGTAGGATAAAAAAAGCTTTATAGCCTATGTACAGTGAGCACATGGTTCCTGGACAGACAATACATTTACCTGAAAACTCTGGCAATGTTTTTAAAGTGAAACCTGTTATCTCATTAATTCAAGCCCTTGTCAATGTGAACACTTTTTCTCTGTCCAAAATATATGTTATTGACTTACAAGTTTATAAAACCTTGAAATGTGAGCACCTGCTAGTTCAAATACTTTTGGGCAGTCCCAGAGGCGTTCAGACTATACAGGTTTACTGTACACTATATAAAGGACATACCTTTTTTCATGTGTATTATTGAGCAGTGCTGGAATAAGTGTGCTGCCATCTATTGTTCTATCTGTAGGAGGTTGTAGGCCTGCCAGTTCCAAAGCTGTCGTAAATAAATCCATGTGACTTCCAGTTTGATGACTTATCTATAAGGGATAGGAAGGAAATGGCTATAGTTGCAGGATTACAAAGTTAATTTTGATAGAGGGGGAGGGAGTAGAAGATATTTTCAAAAAATCAAATGAAAGACAATTTCTGTTATAAAAGGAAGCAAAAATTAAACAATGGTGTATTCCCGTGGGTGTATTGAACTTATTTCTATCATTATTATACTGTTTGTACAATTGTGTAAAATTTACAATTTCTAAAAGAGGTAAAACTGAAAGTTGGGAGTAAAGCTTCAGTCACATTTGTTTTAGGCGGCTGTAGCTTCATGAAATCGATATATAAAATCTTCATTGTACTGCTTATCCCTAATGTATATCATATGCTGCATAATTCTCTTTGATTTTGGGAAGCTACGGCTGCAGTACGGTTGCCACAGATCAAATATGACTGGGGCATAAATTTTGAAAAAAATATTGTTGGTCAAATTAAATTCATGAATAGACCAATTTACAAAATTAAGATGCTACATGTGCAATTACTCACTTGACCGGATTGTATGTGGTTAGGCCACCAGGCTATAGAAGGTTCACGCATTCCTCCTTCATATGTTGTCTCCTTCCCACACAAGAATGGACCATTGCAACCACCAACATAAAAGATACAGAATATCTGATTAATCACATCTACTTTTCAAGAAATAAAGATGCATCCAAAGAAGTATTTTCCATTGACTTCAAACTCATTGATCATTACTGCCTTGACTGCAGTATTTGCCATGACTACATAATTAGTCAGCGGCACAGCAAGGATTCAATATTAGACAAATGCCAAAATTAATAGACAAGGCAAATTAGACTAAATGAGATATTTTACCACCTTTGAACTTCATTTCCCAAATTTTAGTTGAAAAATATCTGAAAAATATTTCAATCTATAAAAATTTTGTGAGGCATTTACCTCGCCTGCTTCAGGCCTCTGGCTGCACACACATGCTAGTACAGTAAAACCTACATATAGTGAACACATATGGAGCTCCAAAAAGTGGGTAGTGTTCAGAGGGGATTTTATACTGGAGTCAATGTAAAATCTGTCTTGAAATGGTGTCCATAAAACGCAGGTGTTCACTAGAGAGAGGTGTTCACTAAGACAGGTTTTACTGTATATTTGAAAGAGGATGAATGAAAGTATAAGTACCATGATCTTTAGAAACAAGAGCTCCACCATTATCAGATGAGAAGAAAACAAATGTGTTATCTGCAATGTCAAGGTCATGTAGTGTCTCCAAAATGGCGCCGACACTGTCATCAAGTTCTCTAACGGCATCGCCATACCTATAATGGAAGAATCAAATTTTATATCTTATCCACAAGATATTTAAGACAAAAACATGGGCTTCATTTTACCGACATATATGCATCCTTTGCATCTTAAATTTAGTGAAAATTCCCCAAAAAAACAATCTAAGGGGATTTTTTCTCTAATTATTACTGCATAGGCAAGCTCTCATTTCTTCCTCAAAACTAACCCCTAACTATACACCAGTCATTTATTTCACAAAGGATCACTTACAGTCCTCTCTGACTTGTCCCAAGAAACTTCTTTGAGGCATAAAGTGGCGTGTGGGTAGCATCTGGTGCCCAGTATAAAAAGAATGGGTTGCCCATGTTAGATTTTGTTTGTTCATGTATAAAATCTATCGCCTCCTGGAAAATATCAAAAGATGAATTTTAATGACGAATCAAGCTGTGAAGTAGATGATTATGGGATTACTAGAGAGTTATTTAAAGAAATAATGGAAAAGATAACAATTCTTTGAAACACAAATTTTAAACAAGGCATTAACATGCTGTCACCACCTGCCATTTGTTACAGACACCGAACACCAACCACCGTACACCAACAACCAAAAACATGCTGAATAACTAAAATGTTTTTTTTCCTTTCAAACCTGAAGGCATTGATTTTATACTTAAACATAACTGCTTGCTTCATTGAATACTCTACAAAAGAAAAATCAGGAGGATTCCATATTACATTTATTCAAAATTCTGAAATTTATTCCATTTTTTGGGGTCATGTACTTACATTTTTGTAGAGGATGGTGAGGTTTGATTCTCCAGTTTGACGATTGATGTTAAATTCTTCATAATATCTAAAAATAGATTAATTGCCCAAGTATCAAAATATGAAACATTAAGCTTTTTTAGATTGGTTAAAATATAAGAAATTAAACAGTGGTTCAAAGTATGCGTTATGGAGCACTCAGTCAACCACCGAAAATTATACAACGCAAGTAGTGTGCTAAAGGCCAAATTTGTCTGAACCAGGAATCAGGAGGCGAACCCGGGGCCAAGCGATAGCGGTAGCCTCTACTCTGCCACTGAGCCATGGTAAGTGGACTTACAAACCAAAAGTAAAAAAGTTTAATATTTTCTAATCCTGGTGAACAGTTCTCTTCAACTTAAATAGATCAACAACATTGCTTTTTTGAAAGTTAAGCATATGTAATTTGGATGGTCAGGAAAATGGGAGAGGGTTAAACTTACCGGCCAAATTGTTTAATTTCCCTCCAATTAAGTTGTAAAGATATTAGATTGAGTCATATTCACAGTATTAATAGAAAGGTTTTATGGTTTCAAGGGAAGTCAAGTACAGTACATGTATGTCTTATTATTATGTCATGTGTGTTGTACAGACCAAGAGAGTGGAGAATATGACAGTGATATAATATAATATAGGGTATCACATAATACTAATAAACAGTCGTGTAGGATACTGAACAAATATTTCACTCTATTGAGGTGAATACCTGTACATCTTTCACAAGTGATATTCCACGAAGCCCGAAGGGCAAGTGGAATATCACCTTGTGAAAGTGCTACAGGTATTCACCGAAAATAGAGTGAAATATTTGTTTTATTATATCACTGTCTAGCTAAACATCCCTAATATTATTAAGTCATAGGTTAACATTGAAATATATATATATTTTACGAATCTACTCGGTTCGTCTGCCATTTTGACTTACACTGAACTAAATTATTTACACTGAACGAAAACAAATTTTTTTAAAATTCCCGGGAGCGTGGGATATCGCTAGATATCTCACGGTTGTCTTATCTGATTAGCATTGCCATTGAATATCGCCAGATATCCCACGACATGTGACCCGGTTTTGACCAATCATACTGTCGCTAGCTAGATAGTGATATAATAATATCAGTTATTACACGTTTCAGCATGTGATACGGGAAATATTCCACGAAAGTAAAAATTGTATAACTACGAAAGCGCAGCTTGAGTGGTGATACTTTTTTACTGAGTGGAATATTTCCCATATCACATACGCTGAAACGTGTGATGACGATTTTATCACATACTATGTAGAAATTTAGTGATTTGATTGGTAGCTTTCTTTGTCATTCTAACTTCTAGTTCCTCAAATGACGAATTCATCATTTCTAAGAAATAGTAACATAGCCTATATGTGACGTCATTTTGAATTAGGAAAGAATAGAATGAAGTTGTATGACGTCATTTCGTTACCATAGACAACGTGTGGTATGTGTGCTCGTATCATATGAAATTTATGTGATACGGGAAATACGTCATAGGAAGCAACCAATCAAATCACTAGATTTATACATAGTATGTGATAATACAAGGTATCACAAGATACCAAGGGGAGAATTATGAATTATATAAATCATGGGCTTTCAACTAGAAAATAATTGAAAGCCCATGTACATGTATAAATTAAAAATAAGTTTCAATATTTGCCAAACTTCTTGTTTTGACTTACCTTCCCACCATATTCTCATTTTTATAAACTGGAATATTTGGTGTATCTCTGTTGTTGTAAGGACCAAAATGACAATTAGGCGCTCCAAACCATTCGTGAAAACCATGTTTTAAAGGATGGAATTGACTCTGGTGTCCCAGATGCCTGCAAAAAACAAAACAATTAAAGTGGCAACAAGAAACTGCCATAACATTCCATGTGATAATTTTAAAGTGTAAAATGTTAGAGGCAATATTTTCAGAAATCATTGCAATGCTTCAAGTACAATTGTACTTTTAATATTTGGAAAATAAAAATTGAAATCTTTGAACAAGTACTAATGTCAATAAAGATTTAGGTAAAAATTACCACAAGCCAAAATACCCCTCAAATATGTAAATAAGTGTGACCAATTGCAAGACATTACTCACCATTTGCCAACTAACTTGTTTCTATAACCAACAGTAGAGAGTATCTCAGGTAACAATAATTCATCATCACCTATTCCACCAACAATTATTTGAGGAGTGTAGCCTGCAAATAGATGTGCAATTTGCTAATAAACACGATGAGAAATATATACAGTATGTTAATACTATTAGTTCAGTAATACTACGGTACTTTATACTATTAGTACTACTAGCACTATAATACCCATAACTTACCATTTCTAGCATGGGCATTAGTTGTGTAGAATCCATTTCTAATTGGTAACCTCCCTGTCAATAGAGCTGCTCTTGCTGAAACATTAAATGAAATGAGTGTAGCTCCCATAATTATTTGCTAGTACTTGCCACTGAATATTCATGAACATTTGAAATATGAACACTGCTGATTCTGACACTTTTTGCCAGTTCCGGTAGTATTCAGATTAGACATGGTTTACTGCAAGTACCGTATCTTAAGTTTCTATGGTTTAAGATCTGACTTCAATTATATCATAACAGTATTTTTATTTACTTACATGGAGAGCACAACGGATTTGAAGCATAGAAATCTGGAAACAACATTCCCTCAGCAGCCATCTTATCTAAATTAGGAGTCTCCTTTGCTGGATGACCAAACACTCCAAGATCACCCCAACCCATCTATATATAAGAAAAGATGAATACATTTTGGCTTAAGGTGAATCCAAAAGGAGACATTTTTGAAAAATTGCTGCAACAGGCCACATTACTTTTACTCCCTTTTACAATGGTTTTCTTCGTCAATCAAATCTAAAATATAAGATTTAGGCAATAAATGCAACTGCCATTTACATTTCCAGATTTAGTGAACACTCACAAATGTAAGCAAATAACAGTTTTGTTTTGTATGTAGACCATGAAGCATAAGAACAATATCCAGGACAAGAGCAACAAAGTGTCATTACGAATTATTTCCTGGTACGTTCTGGAAGTAATGCTACATAAATCACCCAACACGTGAAATTTGATTTGTGGTTTGTTGGTTGTACATATCGTAGTTTGGTGATTCTTCTATAATTTGGTCACAATGAGTATATCATACAGCAGACAACTCTCCTAACATTTCTGAAATAACCACATTAAAAGTCTCTGGCTCCTCCTGCCCTTTCCTCTATTTTAGAAGAAGGTAAACTCTTAATTCCATTCTAAACTCAGAAACTCATCCGCAAATAAGTATAAAATATTCTTCAATGTTGTAATTATTTCATTCATTATCAGACATGGTTGACTGACACATCAACAAACTACATTTTCATAGCACTATAATTTATTCACAAGTATCAATGTCTTCATAATTTGCAGAAGTCATGACACCAGCATATGCTATCTATTGCAAGACTTATGCCTGACACAACTGTCACCATGTTATTAAGTGTTTTTAAGTTTCGCAGGGACCCCGCCATAACCGTGGTATTGGTATTGTGAAAGCCTGGTATAACCGTGACAATGCTATATTACATTACAAGGCCTGTCATGACCGTGGTAATGTTAAAGCCTGATATGACCGTGACAATGCTATATTATATTGCAAGGCCTGTCATGACCGTGGTAATGTTAAAGCCTTATATGGCTGTGGCTATGGTTGTAAGGCCTGTCATAACCGTGGTAATGTTAAAACCTGATATGACCGTGACAATGTTCACATTCTTGAATGAGAATAGAATTATAGTTTGTGGAAATGAATCAAGAGTTAAAGTAGTAGTACATGTACTAGAAGTCTAGATTTACATATTTAAGGTAGATAAACCATGAAATTTTTCATTACAGTATTCTCATGCTACTAAATGTAAATTAATATAACCATTGTCACGGTCATATTGTGCTTTAACATTACCACAGTCATGACAGGCCTTACTTACAATCATTGTCATGGTCATATCAGGCTTTAACATTACCATGGTAGGCCTTGCAACCATTGTCACAGTCATATCAGGCTTTAAAATTAACACGGTCATCTCAGGCCTTGCAATATATTATAGCATTGTCACAATCATATCAGGCTTTAACATTGCCACGGTCATGACAGGCCACGCAATATAATATAGCATTGTCACGGTTATATCAGACTATCACGATAACACTAGCACGGTCATGGCAGGATCCTTGCGATAATTAAAAAACTTTATAACATGGTGCAGTTGTGCCAGGCATAAGTCTTGCAATAGATAGGGTCTCGACACCAGGGCGGCAGGAGAAAAATGATAGAATAATTCTTTCTGTTGGATGTTGGGTTATGCTATGATCAGACAAAATAAAGCGGATATGGTTACATTCTGGAATTTTCACTAAAGGAAAATAATCCATGGGCATACACGATGCTGTATTTTAACATATTGAGACTGAGAGTTTGAATTTGATTGAATTTTGAATTGAAGAAGTGTTTTTATCGAGCCGAGGTTCGTTTAAAATGCTATTTACTGCCAATGGGTATGTTGAAAAATAGAGACCCTATCTGTTGCAAGACTAACGCCTGGCGTAACCGTCGCCATGTTATTCAGTGTTTTTTAAGTAGCGCAAGGATCCTGCTATGACCGTGGTAATGTTATCGTGAAAGCCTGGTATAACCGCGACAATGCTGTATTATATTGCAATGCCTGCCATGACCGTGACAATGTAATATAGTACTGCAAGGCCTGGCATGACCGTGACAATAATATATAGTACTGCAAGGCCTGGCATGACCGTGACAATAATATATAGTTCTGCAAGGCCTGGCATGACCGTGACAATGTAATATAGTATTGCAAGTTCAGGTATGAGAGTGGTAATATAGAAATTTACGATTAGGGCTGCTATAACCGTGACAATGTGTATTGCAAAGCCTGGCATGACCGTTGCAATGTAATATACTACTGCAAGGCCTGGCATGGCTGTGACAATGTAATATAGTATTGCAAGGCTTGGTATGACCGCCGTGTTAATGTGATATAGTATTCCAAGTTCTTGTATGAGAGTGGTAATGTAGAAATTTAGTCTTAGTCCTACTATGACCGTTATAATGTATTGCAATGACTAGTAAATATGTATGACATTAATGCCAGGAATATCCTTAACCATTTTAAGAGATCATCATTACAATTAAACAGTTTAATACTATGATCATGGTGTTTAACTACCTTAATCGTGTCAAAATCAAAATTACTACTATTAATATTCACATTCGCTTATAAACCACAATAAAGGCTACGGTCGCGCCAAGCTTCCACGATAACACTTCCAGGGTCATGACAGGCCTTGCAATATAATACAGCATTGTCACGGTTATACCAGCCTGTCACGGTTATACCAGGCTTACACGATAACACTACCACGGTCATGGCAGGATCCTTGCGCTACTTAAAAACACTGATTAACATGGCGACGGTTGTGGTAGGCTTAAGTCTTGCAATAGTTAGCATGTGGAAAAATATTGACAGTGCATTTAATACCATCCTAAATAGTAATCTACTTACATCATCCATCAACATTATAATTATGTTTGGTCTGGAAGAACCAAATCCACATTTTATTACAAAAATTAAAACAAAACATTTCCAAAACAAGACTTCCATTTTGAAGATCACGTGAGTTTGTAAGGCTCTCGCTGCGCGCGAGACAATACGAGATGAAAGATGGAGGAGCTGCAGCTTTTGTTTTTCGACACATTTTCGCACGAAAACACAGAGGTAATGCAATGTTTTATCATTAATCTTATGTCAGATAATGCTTGCTAGATAATATAAATTGCTTATATATCAAAAGGAAAGAAATATCGTGACGTGTTACTCTGTAAAATGATTTTTATTTCAAGCATGGTTTCAGATTTTCCCGCTTCGATTCCTCGATTCAATGTTTTTCAATTTGAATTTTTCAGTTTCATTATAGATAGTCTTAGCTATATTTCAAGAGGATTGGATCCCAGTGTTCCAACGCGATACACTAATTCAAGTAATTTATTCAGTGCTGTTTTCTAATGCAAAGGACGCATGCATGAACTGCACCCTAGATAACAATGCCATTTATTGCTAAACTCAAATCGCTTATTCTGTGAACCAGTTCATATGGATAAAATAACGAAATGATGTGATATAATCATGTAATCTACTTACCAGTATGTTCTATGCTATCCATCGGACTATGTGAATTGTGGAACACGACAATGAAGGGAACAACATATCAATATTGATCGAGGTGTATCGATCTTAGCCGAAATATTTGAAATTTAGATCGTCCATTTTGCCAGTCACATGTCTGATCACATGTCTAGTTATTACTAGTTGATATCATGTAACTTGTGACATGTCACTCAACCATGTCTTCAAAGAAAGATATTACAGAGAATTAGAAAATTATTTTCAGACATCTGCTGCTGAATATAAAAGAACATATTCCAAGATAGCGATGTCAAATACATGTATTGTAGAAAGGGCCCCTGAAGCTGCTGACTATTTAAAATCAACTTTATTCACGATATTACGCTAGGAAACTTATTAATTTTATGAATTCATAAAGACCTGAAATGATGCATTGGAATAAGGAAATTGAAACGCAACACTTAAAGTGGTGAAAAACAACAAACTAAAGTTGAAAGATCGCAGGGTTCGCTACTTTGTTCAATTCCGGAAATCTCCAAGGGGCTGCAAATGGGAAATTATTTAGATTTAGATTTTATAAACTCAGAATACTGCCTTCAGTGTTGTGTTTGACTGAGTTCCACAATGTAATCTAGTCCGATGGATGACATAGAACAAACTGGTAAGTAGACACATGGTACCCCATAAATGTGGGGTTATTTTGAGGTTTTTTGATATTTAGGACATTTGTTTCTCAAAGTAACCCCCAAATTTAAGGCTTTGATTCTTTGCGTTTTTTTTTCACATGATTTGAAGATTCAAGTTCTGACAATGTCGGCAGTTTCCTTACCTTTTTTCTTTTCTTCTGTGAAGAAGATTCTTTTTCTTATGTAATGAGCGATCATCGAAACGATGCTTTATAACTGGAACAATTTGCTATTTCTATTCAAATTTTGGCCATTTTTTGATTTTTCACGCATTGCATTGTAGGAGGAAGTATTATATGTGGTAGATCAGAAACTTAACTTTTCAAATATCAGAAACTTAACAGTGCCAAACGAAATCACCTGTCAAATTAATAACAAAATTATTGCTTATACCTAAGTTCAGGAAAACAAAGGCCGTAGACGGTACAGCGGCCAAACTTGAGGTTGAAAGTCCTTTAATACAAACTAGATTAGAAGGTGAAAAACATTTTTCAAAAATTCCCTCCATTTTTACTTTTGGATTTCGTATTGCAATTCTATTGGCAATTCTAACTCAACTTTATTTAACCCTTTCCTGAAGTGAATATAAGAGGAAAATGTTGCCCCTCATAATGGATAAATAAGAGCAGATTTGAGGGGAAAACTGCAAATAACCTCCGCCCCGGGACCTATACCTTGAATTTTATCAATGAAATACAATTTCTAGTAAGAATAATCCCATTAGAACAACTTGTTAAAATTTGGTGTAAAAATACTGAAAAGAACTGGAGATATTATCATTTCATGGATGTATATAAATGAAAATAATGGTGCCAAAAGGAGCCTATTGTCCTGAAAGGTATTACATAATAGGGCTCTATATAGAGCCTATCGTGAAAGGATAAAGCTACTGCGCAAGTATATTGATTTATTGATCCATAAAGACTGAAATGACGCATTGAAATAAGACTGCCCCATAAATCGAAATGCAAACGAAAAGTTTGCTCACTTAGCTCGAAAGTTGAAAATGAGGTGAAGTTTATCAAGTTATTTCTGTAATATTATGCAGGAGTTCACTAGAATTTCTCACAAGAGGTTAAATAAATGAAAACAACAGGCAAAATTAATGGAAATCATAAATTTAACTTGGAAAAGTTCCTAAAACAACAGGCAATTTTGTGAAAACAACCAGTGAAAATCGCTTGTTTCCTGCTGCTAATGAAACCCCTGCTGTGTGTGATTTTAGGAGCTGAACTTGGACCTTGTACAGTTCCCCAGCCCCGTACTTGTACATGAAATCAGAGTTATACCTCTTGGCACTAAAATACAAGTCAATGTTCCTGGTGGATACCGCATGGGGTAAGTTACTTGTATTGTACTCATATTCTCAATTAGAACATTAAAATAAAATATAATACATTGACATATGTCTAAAGTTTTCTCTTCAAATATGATATAGGCAAATTAATAATCAACAGATAAACAAAAATGTGATCAAAAAATATTATACAGGGTTTCACTAGAATTTTTCACAACAGACTAAATATATGAAAACAACAGGTAAAATTAATGGAACTCATAAAATTAACATGGAAAAGTTGAAAAAAACAAGGGATTTTGTGAAAACAACTGGTTAAAATCGCCTGTTGCCTGCTGCTAATGTAACCCCTATTAGCATATAATTTTCATGCTCTTCATGTCTATACAGCAATTCTCTCCATCACAGGTCATTGTACTTGCAAAATTGAATGTTAGAATATGCTAAGGGACCAGCTCAAACCTGGTCCAACAATATCCAAAAAGAAAAAATAATGTTGGTTTCAAGAAAATTTATAAGTTAAAAAATTTACTTGTGTGTTTGCAAATAATAAGGACTGGATGAAAAATGTTGATTTTAGCACATCACACTTTTGTAATAACTGAAATTGACTTCCATTGAATGCATTTGTTTTTTCAGAGCTACCAATCCTTCTGAATTCAGATTGGAATTATTTGTGAACAACTTGACCCGACCAAACTCTAGCGTCTTTGAAAAGCTAGGAATGTAAGTGCATATCACACTCTACTATATCTTGCATTTTGTGTTCATGAGCAACCCATTTGGCTTATTCGTAATGATTATG